CTTAGCACATTTGCATACAACTGCATAACAAGTAAGAACGACATTACGGCAACTTTTTTTGTGATGATATATTTTGAGTTGTGCTATCTTACTGCATTAAAATCTCAAATTATCTTAAAAAGTGGACTTAGCACGTTTGCACAGTAAGCCAACAATATGTAAGTCAGAAAGCTTCAACCAGCTATGACGCTGACATTAGCGAGCGAATTAATACAGGAACGCGCGCTTTCCACAAACAAATTGCAATTGTCGCATGCATCAACAACGAATGAAGCCACAACCATTAGTTACAGTTAATACAAGTTGCCAGACGCCAATACAGCCGTTTGGCAACGTGACATCAATGCAAATGAAAATGGTTGTGGTGGAGGTGGAGGTGAGGCAGACGGAGTAGCGGATAGTAGTACCATGTGCTAATTGCATTCATGCAACTTTTATACATACATACATACATATATACTATGTAAATACAAGTACATTCATATTAGGGTGGCCCTAAATTTTTCCTTCTAGAAAATAGCAATAAACCCCACGTACCATGAACCATCTCAATTTTTCCATGCAAAAAGCTTGGGAAAATTTTCGATTTTCGAAAAATCAAAATCTTTAGCCAGTGTTAAAAAAAAAAGTTAACATTAAACTGCTGGAATTGAAAAATAATGAGCAGCCGGACCCCGTACAGCGCCACTCCAAATTTCACAGAAGGTGTAACTTTGGGGTGATGCTTTGCGGGGGCCAAGTGCTCATAATTTAAAGCTATATAGGTTAAATTAGTTGGAAGAGAGTCGTGTTTAAATCCTAGTAGTTTAATGTTAACTTTTTTAAAATCTTGGCTGGTGACCTTGGTTTTCGAAAACATAAAGTTTTCCCATGCAGTCTTACATAGAAAAATTGGGATGCTAGGTGGCACGTCTTACTATTAAAATTTTCTAAAATAAACGAAAAAAAACTTATTTTCGTTTTTGGTATTACAATGAATTCTTTTTTTCCACGAAAGAAATGTATTCTTTGGCCACCCTATTTCATGTACATATATAGGCATAAATACCACTATGTATATATTATAAATATTATTTTACTTATCTACAATTAGTTTTTCTTCATTTATTACTGATTATTAGCTATTTATTCTAATTAACAATTTTGGTGCGAATGTATGTAAAGATAAATGTAGGTGTGCATTTCAATATTGTTACTTAAGTGCAATTGTTATTAGCTTGTTTTTGTTTTTTTTATTTCCCGTTTACCATTTATTTTCACATTTAATGCCATTTTTATAAGCGCTCGTATAAACGCAGTGTATTACAATTGCATTTATTTATATTCAGGTCATTTGCATTTGCACTAGTCAGCTATGTATGTATGTAGCTGAGTGAATTACTTATTCCTTCGTACACTTTTTGTTTCTTTTTCATGAAAAAGCTTTGTTCTGCTATTACTTAATCAATTTTTACATTCGTTTCCACTATAAGTAGTTACAATTGATATGACTAGTCGCTTATTTTTGCAAATTGCCATTCCATTATTGCAGTTTAGTACCAACTTGGTTATATGCAAATCGTAATGATAGTAATTAAATGCATAAAGTGTTATACGGGTACATTTTTGTCGTCCTAAATTCTCGATTCTTCCCTATGTGCGACGTCTGGGAGGAAATGAAAATTGTTTACCCAAAACTTTAGGGACTTTCGAAAAAATACTGTCATTTATTTGGTACCTCGGTGTCTGATTAGCGTCTTTTTTTTAAAGCTGGTGCTACATCTACAACAACGAAACGATTGTCAGACTTTTGTTTTAGCAAACTTGGTTAAATTATAAATAATTATCGCCGCTAAAAATAATCGTCGTATTTTTATTTAAGGCTAATTAACAAGAGAACTAGAAACTTTTTATTGAAAAGTGTTCCGTGAATACTCACTGTAAAAGAGTGCCCATAAAAATTCGATTAATCGATTATTTCGCAATAATTGCTCAGGGTCGGTAGAAAATTTGTGTTTTATAGTGTAAATCCTTATATATAAAACACACTCACATCTCACTTAACGAATGACACTTTTCCATTACTCGTACAAAGGAGATTTTTTTCTATTAATTCACATTCACTTAAGTGCTTTTAGCAAAAAAAAATAATAAAAATAAAACTATGCACAGTCAATTTAATCAATTGAAATCTAAAGTCAAATTAGCAACAACACAATGCCAATCTCGGACAACAAATTGAAATTTAACAAGTGTTACAATAACAAGCAGTTTTGCAACAACAACAACAACAAGGCGAACAGTAAATATGTATTGCAAAAACCGCAGCTGCATATCAAATGGCAAGCCGCAACGCAATTAGACAGAATCGCTGGCTGTTTATGTCACTTGTTATTGCTTTTGTTGTTGCTGTTGCTAAACGCCGTTTAAGTGCGTCGAAATTGGCAATAAACTCAAAGCATTCAACAGGCACTTAAAGGTGCGAGCATTAACAACAATTATACGAGGCTACAGTGACAACAAAAACAACCGTCACCAATGGAATGTACCCTCAACACCTACGGATATGCATATGTACAATGTGCATACCTATATAAAAGCAACATTGGCAAACAGCACTGCAAGCAAATGAGGTTACAAATTGACTGACAGCATCGCTTGACAGACAGCATTGTTGCCTTGCCGCCTGCCAATTATGCAGCTATGTAGCGAGACACTCCAAGAAGGCAGTCATTTTTAGCTATAAACATTTGCATATTTCCACTGTCGATAACATAAATAAATAGGATTTGATTAATGCACATACGTACATACAAAACCATGCCTTTAAGTAGAAAATCACATTTGTCTATTCGTTTTGACTTCCCTTCTTTCCCTCATTTCAGATGCCAATCACACAGGCAAATCGAGTGTTAAGAAGAAAAAACTTGCAGCCACTGCTTCTGCGACAACCGCAACGTTGCTTACATCAACGCCGTCGACTGTTGCAACGCCAGCGTCTTCATCATCGATGCCAGTGCCGGAAGTGAGTCCTACCGGCAGCAGCGATAGCGCAATGCGCGACAAGCAATTTCCCACAGTTAGTACACCACCCTCCTCCGCCACGGCTGCCGTAGAAACTACCGAAGACGATTCGGATTCGGGTTCGACGGATGCGCGTCGAAAAAAGAAGGCACGCACAACCTTTACTGGACGTCAAATATTCGAATTGGAGAAGCAATTTGAGATAAAGAAATATCTCAGTTCGAGTGAACGAACAGAAATGGCTAAATTGCTGAATGTAACTGAGACGCAGGTGAGTGTGGGTGGGGGTGAAAACAATGTTGAGAACGCTATACATACATACGCAAGTATGCAGTTCGTAGAATAATTTTTAAGAACAAAATAAAGGCTTTGATATCCAAATGCGTACTAGGATTCATCGTGATTGCCGAGCCTTAGTGGCTGGGACGAAAATTTTGATGATGCTAAACTCTTCTCGAAGTAAACTTTGAAATAAGAAAGAGCAAATTCTAGCGTATTTTTTTTTAGACCTTCAGATGCGTTTACTAGACAAATAAAAACATTACAGTGACTCATACAAGTGATCACATGCTAGTTTTTTTTAAATATTCATAAAGTTTTCGAGCTAATTTGTTTTTTTTTCTATAAAAATATAAAAATACTGTCCATGCTTTAACCAAAAATACGTTTATGATAAAATTTTGAAAAATAGGCGTGGCACCGCTCAAATTAATCATGTCAGCTTTTTATTTTTAATAAAAAAATTAAAAAAATCAAACTTTAACAGAAGAAAAATTAAAAAAATAACAGGTTCTGTGCCAAATTTTTGCATTTGTACTAAAACTGTTACAAAAACTAGTAATTTTTAGCAAAAAAAAAACCGACTTCAACTCCCATATAAAAAAAATATATATATATATATATCTCATGATCCGCTAATCGGATCTTAACCAGATTAGTATGGGACCACCTCTGAGACACTACCTTTTTGATGCAAAAAGAATTATCGAAATCGGTTGACGTGGTCCAAAGTTATGCGGTAACATACATAAAAAAACAAAAAAAATATTCCGACAAACTGATAACCTCCTCCTTTTTTGGAAGTCGGTTAAAAAGTCAAAGTACTCAAGAAGAAAATCGATGGATAAATACGAAATAATGAGTGGTCAAATAAAAATGCGCAAGATTATTTTTATGAAAATTGAGCACGAAAGAATGTTACTCATACGCCGCGTACACCTAAGTAACACGCTTTTCTGCTCATATTTCATACAAAAAATCTTTGCGCATTTTCATTTGACCACTCATTATTTCGTATCTATTCATCGATTTTCCTTATGAGTAACTTCATCTTTTTTTTTGGAACAAGATTTAGTACAAATGCAAAAATTTGGCACAGAACCTGTTTTTTTTTTTTTTAATTTTCTCTTCTGTTAAAGTTTGATTTTTTTTTTTCATTTTTTCATTAAAAAATAAAAAAATCTGGAATGATTAACTAATTTGTCAGAAACTATAAGCTCTATCGGAAAGTGATGTATATATGGTTTATGGAGAATTTCATTGGCTTTCAGTTGCTGTATTTTATATTAAGATTTTTAAATTCGTTCGTAAGACATAAGTGATTGAAAGGAACCAAGGAATAACGGTAAATTGCAAACATCTCGAAAACGTACCTATAGAAAAAAATTAGCCCGAATTTCGGAATCGCCGAGCAGTTCTACATAGAAATTGGAAAGTGGCGTCTGGAGAACAAAAAACAAATTAAAATTTGTGATCCAGTGTAAGCAATACTGTGATTATAAAACGGGTTGATAACGAACGCCATTTGAAAGCGATTATATTTGGCAAGCGTGCTTTAAGAAGAAGAAGAGGATTGCCTATCACTCTCAAACGCTGCTTAACCCCAAAAACAGAAATGATACATTTGAATTACACATGACGCTCCAAGAATTTTGCTATACAAGCTAATAGTAATAATTACAAATTACAACTCAATTTTCAAAAACATGGGCATTCGTCACGCCCCATAAACCAAACGCATGTATGTATGTATGCATAACTATGTAGCTACATTTATACATACTTAGCTATGTATATAAATGAGTCTACGTACATCAGTTAAGCCTCCAAGTCATACTCAATTAGTTGTTGTTTACACACATTTTACACACAAATTTTGCACACGCTTTTGATTTCTTACTTAAAATTTGGTAGCAAATATTTAACTAATTAAACTAAGCAAATTTTCATTGAATACTCGACGCATACATACGTGCATCTATATGCATGTATGTATGTGTGTGCGTATGTAGACTTACAACGTTATTTGCATGTTGGCCTTATCGACCTTCCTGTAAGCATTACATACATGTACTATGTATGAATATTTAGGCATCACTTAAGTAGACAAGCAAAATCGGTAGCTGGCAGCGTTGAACTGCATGCAGGCGGCAACAGAGCGAGCAAAGTTCACCGCAAGCGTTTGTTTGCCACCAACAACAGACGCAAAAGCCGTAAATATCCTTTGCTGATGTAATTAAATTGTTATTGCTATAGCAAAATACGCACGCACGCACGCACGCACGTAGAGAAACAATAACTCGGCTTATAGCTTACACCTACACATAGATTGATACCCATACATACATTGGTATGTATGTAAGTATGTATGCCTTGTTTGTTCCGCCCATACTCCGGCATAGTTGAAATTGTTGGCAAGAGTTTTAGCTCTAATATGCTGTTCAATATAATTAAGTGCCATGCCAACATACAAGTAGAGCACCCGAAATATTTACATACAAACAAACACAACGGTTCGTGGTGCCAAGCATATTGAGTGTGTGTGTGCGTATGATAAGGCTAAGGATTTGTAAATGCAATGCACATCCTGTACGATAATGCAGTGAGCAGATGCAATTATGCCAAGCCACTCAACCACTCAGCTAGGCAAGCAGTCAAGTAGACAGGCATTCAAGCTTGTAATAACATTGTATGTTATGCCAGTATGGGTGTCTGTGTGTGTGTGTGTGTGAATGCAAGTGCATCTGTACATACGCATGATAAATTGCTATCGGGCTTATGATATTAATAATAGACTAACACTTGTGCTTTCAGCACACGCGCACGCGTACGTACAAAAACAAACCAACACAAAGTTTAGATTTCAATAAGCGCCCACCTTCAAATCAACTAACGCATGCATGCAATTATGTACATAGATACATATGTATGTATGCGTTTGTTGATTTGTAAATTTGTATATAATTCAAACGCGCGCGCCTACCATATGTATTGTAGATATATTTAAGTAAATGGATATAAGCGTTTGACTGGCTTATGTGTGACATTAATTGGCTCGATTGAATATGTCATGGCATTAAATAAGTAGCGACACATACATATACATACATACATATACATACATACTACAAGCATTGTACATGCCAATAAATTTCCATATGCATTAAGTGCCGTTATTTGTTTATTTAGCAAATCGATACACAAAAATCCACTTAATGTTGTACAGTTGCTGCCAATAATATTAAAATAATTAAGCAATACAATGTTGCTAATAACATTCATTTGTACAAATACATGTTCACATGCATACATATGACCATAAATACATACATATGCGGATGCTAAAAGTGGGTGTTTATTTGCATAGAAACGCAAATTAAGTAGTGGTGTGACCTGGGGCGTATGAGTAATAAATAATTTCATTGCAATAAATTATTATAAAAGCAGTAAATCATGCGTGAAACTTGCCGAAGTAGTGGAATGACCCTAAATGGCTTAATGCCATAGGCATGCTAATTAAATTGCGCATAACATATTAATATTTTAATTGAGCTAACAAAGACTAACTCGTATCTACATATTCAAATACATACCTATGTACATATGTATGTATTTTGTATATTCAATTAAAATTTAATATCCATTATTCGATAAATATGTATGTACGTATGCGATTAATTTAGAAAATCCAAAATATAAAATGCACTTAGTATTTAATTTTTTTTTTTCGGCTATTGGAGGAAGTGCTGTTTATTGATTAGCTGCTTATCCGGGTTTGTTTTCGCTGTTTCGTGGCAAATGATTGAATGCCAAAAATTCACTGCTTAATAATTGCCAGATTAAACTAAAGAAGTGCGCGCTTGAACCCATAGTAGCCATAGCATTATTGACTATTAGGTACTTATACAGCGGTCGAAATAATTATAGCGGCACCACATTTTGACAAGTTTTACCAAATTATTCTTTTTGTTATTTAGTTTTGCTTAGTCTTTATAAAAATAAAGTTCATTCGCAAATCAAAGTTTCAAACTTTGTGCAATATTTCCTATAAAGATTCTGAGTATATAGTCGATTGAACAAAGTACAAGTCTAAAATGGCTAAATTTCGGTTGATTTTTTTAATCTTTTTTTGCAGAATTTTTTTTTCCTGTGTACTCGTTATATGAAAGCAAATGAAACAAAAAAAAATCTAGAAAATCAACCGTAATTTAGTGCCACTTAACAAAACTTACTAAATTAATAAGTTAATGGCACCTCAAACCACGCTCAACTAGGGATTTTTTGAAGTGAAACTTCTTTAGCGGCGGTGGGTTGGTTGGGAGTAAA